TCCTCCAAAACAATTAGAATAATAACCAACAACAACACAATACATGTACAAACCCACGGCCCATATTCTTAAATCTCTGGTTCTCCACTCACCCATCCCAGCTTGACCCATTTCCCCTTCAGATTTCTCATGTTTGTTTTTCGGGCTGTCTCCCGTAGCAAGCCAGAAAGAACAAAACCCACCGCCCCGCCCCACTCCCCCCTCACCTAAAAAAAGCAAACAATCGACGATTGGTAGCTCCAAAACAATGCCAGGGACCGGATGGTGGTCACGACGATATCTCTGCTATCTGCTAGCAATGCAAAAGACCTGATATCTCCAACTTGTTATCGAATGCAAAACAGAACCCACGAGCAAGACAAATTATGGTGGAGAATCTCAGTCGGTGTGGGTCAAGAATAGTATCTTTGGTTTCGACCAAAAAAAACAAAAAACCTCACCCCAAATAAAAAAAACAACAAATGTACAAAAAATTAAATAAATATAATAAAAATACGAACAAACAAACAAACAAACAAAAAAAACCCAGCGACGTAAGTATATTATTTTTTAATGTTCGTGTTTTACGCCCGAAATACGCGAATTAAATTTAATCATTTAGATTTAGACGGTAGCCTCCAACCCTTCCTGTCGGGGCCAACCCAGTTTGAGACCGAGAAACTCGATAAAAAATTCTTTCACATGGGAATTGAGCTCAAGTTTTCTACATACGAATGCAAAACGCCTAACCGTTAAACTAAAGATACTCAGAGGATGCTAAGGCGCTAAAACACAGCCACCATACTCATAAAACAAAGACATATTACACACACTGGCACTTCCACGATATACATCTAAAAACCATGGATCTTTGTCACGACGTAGTGGAATCAGGCGCTCGTGAAATTTTGAACATGCGGAGTTATTGGTATCATTTAAAAGCGTGTTCATGTGTCTTGCTTTCGGTGAAAAAAATACTCATATATCATGAATAAAAGTCGAGATATTTGCGATTGAAGGAGGTGGGTGATTGAAGGAGGTGGGTGTCGCCTTGCTTCAGAGGTGGCGTCGGTGGCCTAGTGGTTAGGCTCTCGGACTCGCAACCGTAAGGTCGTGGGTTCGAATCCCGTCAAGGGCCCGACGTTGTGTCCTTGGGAAAGGCACTTTACACGAATTTTCCTCACTTCACCCAGGTGGGAATGGGTACCCGGCTATAGACAGCGAAAGATCTTGTCAGTTTGTTAGTGTTTGAGCGCTTAATCGGCTGCTCGCACTGTATGCTTCCCGGGAAGCTGAGAATGTTTCGGAGTGTTCTATGGTCTGCTGGGGTAATAATATAGTGTAAAGCGCATAGAGCCTGCTGTTGAGCGGGGATATGCGCTATACAAATGCTATTTATTATTATTATTATTATTAGAGGTAAAATTAGAGAGTAAAAAGGCAGCCAAAGTCTGGCGACTTTCAACGCTTGAGAGTCTGTAGAAACTTCAAATGTACTTTTTCCTGCCTTAAATCAAAATTTTTCATTAAAATCCCCACAGAAATGTGTTTATAAATGGACTTTGAAGGTGTTGAATCAAAAAATAAAAATTCGATAAAAATGGACAAACGGACCAAAAAAAAAAAAATTTTTTTTAAAGCCACTTTCTTCGATTTCAATATTTTGACGAGCGCCTGATTTCACCCTGATGCCTCACGTAAATGTGCTTGGTGCACTTCTTATCTCAATCATGTAATCATTCCAGGAGTCACCAGTGTACGATATTCTTCGCCTTCTTCCTTTAACCCAGTTCCAATTTCAAAATCAATTGTTTCTGCTGTTGTTTTATTTCTAGATCTAGTTTCAGATCTGTCTGGCAACAATTGCGTGGGTGGCAAGGGGAAAGAAAGCGGGACATTTGACATAAAATACATCATGTTTGCGGGAAAAATGGAAATTATGTTTTCAAAAAGGGGGGTCTTCAGCAAGAACATGAACTTGAATTTCACTTTTTTTACGTCAGAGGCTATCGAGATGACATCTGCTAGCCTCATCGGTATGGCCAACACAATGCCAACAAGGGTGTGCACACATGGTCTGGCTTGACGAGATCGAAAGAGCTGAATCGCGCCTTTGCGAAGTCGTTAGGAACCCGAAGGAACTTGCTTTACTCTGTCAGTTTCTGTGATGAATGACAAGAGTCGGAAATTGAATGATTTTGTCTTAGTGTGAGTTCTACGGTACCTGCTAAACAAATAGGCCATATAGGTGGCCAAGATTAGACGATGACGGGTTACTAGAAACTAAAATGCAAAGAAAAAAGGTAGAGGAGATAAGGACAATGAATGTTTGATAGGAAATAAGGAGTAGACGAAAGGGCGATAGATGTTTGATATGAAAGAAAAATCATAAAACCACAGCAGTCGAGCAACCACCAACAACCCGTTATCATTCTCAGAAACGATGCATTCACCCACCCACCTACCCACCCCAACCCCTTCCAACACACCACAAGGAACAGAAGACAGAAGAGCAGCAGCATAACATGGCCTAGCCCTACAACAAACCTCTTTTCCATCATAACAAAATGGCGGCATCGCGGATAACACCCGACAAAAATTATCAGGTCGATGAGGAGCGAGAGATAATAACCCGCCCCTAGAGAGAAGGAGGAGGTGTCTACAACTATCAGATCATGTGGTTATTTGTGCCGGAAAACAAGCCCTTCACCTTTATGATGCCCGCTCGCCTCTATCTTAAGGTAGGTGCACGCGGAGTTGAATTGTCGAAAAATTCAAACCGCGAGCGGTCAGACGTCGCAATTCAACACCTTTACGCAGACAATATTACTAGCAACTGTTTCATGGATTGTATACATCAAATGGCGCACCACTATAACTACAAACAGTATAATCAAGGGCCCATCCAATATTACTAGTAACTATATCAATAATCTCATATCGAATGGCGCCATTGCACGACGTTTATTTTATACTTCGATACAACGAATCGTGTGCACCGCTCGTAAACATTATCTTGTCTGCAAATCGCCATGCCCACTTGCGTTCTTCTGCCCAGACTGGTATGTCACAAGGGAAGTAACTAGGGGGTGCATCAGTTTCTCTTTCTGGACTAAATACTTGTTTATTCTATCGTTTGTCACTGCCTAGACTGACTCACAAAAACCAGTGAATGGAAAGAGAGAAAGAGAGAAAGAGAGAAAGAGAGAGAGAGAGAGAGAGAGAGAGAGAGGGAGGGAGAGAGAGGGAGAGAGAGAGAGGAAGAGAGAGAGACACACACACAAACACACACACACA